ATTGTATTGCGCTCATAGACATTAATTTTCCTGAACCAGGCAAAAAAAAAAAAGCTTTACTCACAGGAAGAGCATGTTGGTACAAGGGTAATTCCATAAAACAACAACTAAGATAGAGCAGAGAGTCAGTGGTATCAACAGAAAGCCTGGGAGACATTACACACCTCTCTCTCACTTTGAGTCTTTCTCTCTGAGGTATAATCAAGTGTATTTGCTCCTCTCAGTAGTTAGTAGCAGGTATTTACATGCGTTCTCCCGTGTGTGAGTGAGTATGTGTGTGTGCAGTGTTCAGGTAAGTTGCAGCTGCTGTCTCAGTGGTGCTGTCTTCTCATTAATGCAGGTAATGAGCTCAGTCACATCTGCCTCTGCAGGTCACCCCATGAGAGAGAGAAAGAAAGGGAGAGAGGATTAGAGACAACCGAGGGAGTGTAACAGGAAAGGGGGGGGGGGGTACTCTGTGTGTGCTTGAGGGAGAAAGGGGATGTCTTAATCATGTCACCTGCCTGCCGTTCCAGCCGAATGCAGCACCTTTGGGTTACTCCCTGTTTACACTACCGTCCTCTCTGCTCTGTGTGTTGCAGTGGGACTGGAGAGGGATGATGGGGAAAGCAGAAGAGGAGCTGGGATGAATGGGGATACAGCAGAAAGAGTTCTGGAGGTGGAGGAGGGACAGAGACAGAATGAGGTTGTTGAAAGGAAAAAGGGAGCAATGGGTTAAAAACAAGCAGGAGAACTGGAGGGAGAGGGAAGTGTTAAAGAAGAAGGCGAAGGAGGAGGAGGAATAGAGGGAATGTGTCTTCCCAGGAGTGAGCAGGCTGTCTTGTCGAGTAGTTCATCATTGTGTCCCCGGTGACTGTGTCTGTGGCCTGGCCCCGCTGTAGCTATAATAAGACATAAATAAGGAACAAGACTGCCTTATCTACACTGTGGCCCCCATCTCTTTTTCTCCCTTTCCTCCTTTTCTTTGCTTTCACACACACTCTTGCTGCAGCAGATGTAGAGTGGTTCTTTTAAGAAGTATTTTCCTACCATGTTCTCGCCATCGCCACTATCTGATGACCCACTGTAGTGATGAACCCAGAGCTTATGCACACACACACACACACACACACACACACACACACACACACACTCACAATGTGGTGTTGGCTGCATGTCTTAACTTCAGTACTACAGACACCGTGTCTATCACACTTTGCAACAGTGTTGAACAGCACAGTAAGATCCTAAATAACTGCAGATTTACATTAACCTTTTACTCATTTGCCTTAAACTTTTATTTAATTGCTAAATCTGTCAGAGGTTGAACGCCTCTGGAGCAGCTTGGGGTTAAGTGTCTTGCTTAGAGACACATTGGCGGATATCGATTGGTTGTCATGTGATTATAATGTATGTGGATGAATTCAAGTAAACTACATATCAATATGTTTAGGAGTTCTGAGTTGTAATAATGACAATTAATTTTGATATTGCATTTTCTCCTATGCATATACATTAGTCCCATAACTCAATCCTCATATTCTCATAACTCAGTTTAGTCTATCTTGTGTATTTAGTCGCTGAAGTGAGAGAAACTTCAGGTTATGCTCCAGAAGTAAGAAAATCGCATCACCTTGACATTTGCAAAAACTCAAACTACTAAAAATCCTGCCTTACAAGCCTACATACTCAAATACATTTGTCTAGATAAAGACTGTATTTTCTATAAAACAATCTAATATCGTCAATATTTCAGTTTTTAGCAACATTTAATGATACCATTTTCCATTAAGTCCAAGAAAATCGCAGGTTAAACATCCTCAGCTCAACAAAAGAGGTGAGCTCATGGGTGAGTGGAGGGGCCATGGCTATTTTAGATATGCTACCTTCTGGTAAATTTTCATGAGGGCTGTATTTTCTTTTGTTAAAATGTTTTTAACTTCTACCTTATTTATGTTGATTTCTATCAACAGAATAACATGTACATGCCTTAAAACAGATATCACTTTACTTCTCTAGTTATTACTCCCAATAGATGTAACACCTCCACTGTGTTCCCTACCCAGTGCTATTTTCCCTCCCAATGTGTGTGTGTGTGTGTGTGTGTGTGTGTGTGTTGAAAAAGGTGCTATATCAAGTCCAGTTATTAATGTGTGTGTTTATTAGTTGGATGTGTGGTTTCATTGGGGAGTTGGATCTCAGTTGATGTCTCACTTTTGTTTACACAACTTAACGCTGTTTGACTCTGTGTCAGGCATGCCCATATGTGTGTGCGTGCATGAGTTTGTCTGTGTGAGTGGAGGTGGGTGGGTGGGGGAGCATGGAGAGAGAGACCTCAGGAGAATGGGGTTTTTGCCGGGGCTTTGGTTGTTCCTGCATCATTACCCCGACTGCAGACAAAGCCTACTTATGTCTCTCTTTCCCCTCCCAATCCATACACTCACGCACCCACACACACACACACAAACATGTGCGCACACATACAGTGTGCTGTATGTGTCAACAGTGGCTGAGGGAGTCCTGCACAGGGGAGAGAAGAGGAAATAAGAGAGGAGGCGGAGGAGGGGATGCAGAGAAATGAGAATGGAGAATAGATTTATGAAATGAAGCATTCCAAACAGGACTATCTGCCTGCTGTGAGAAACACCTTTCATAAATCACCACACAGCGGCAGAAAATAGAGCATTTGGTAGGGTTCTTGTCTGTGTATGTGTGAGGGTGTAGTGGAGGGAGTGAGTAGGAGAATCTTTTATTCCTGTCACTGGTCCCAGTGAAAACTATAGTGGAAAGTAGTGTTGCAGGTGATGCATATATGCATCTATTTCACATTGTGTGTGTGTGTGCGTGCGCGCGCATCAGTGTCACCGTGAGCATGTACAGTCAGTGTGTGCGTTTGTGTTAGATACTGCCCTCCCACAGGGTATCTTTACAGAGAGCACGATATAAAAAGAGACAGATAGGGTTAGAGAACGAAAACCGAAAAAGAAAGGGGAGAGGGAGAGCTGAGTACAGTAGCTCAGGGGGATCTCTGTCTGGGTCAGAGACAGAGGAGTCAGAGACAGAGAGAGAGAGAGAAAGAGCAAAGGAGTAGAAAAGCAGACAGAGAACAGGGCGACGTGCTGAGAGGAGAGTTTTTCCTCAGGTGAGTTGTTCTGTAAGTGAACGCTGATTTGCCCCGATCCTGTCACTGGAAAGAACGCCGGGTCGACTGCACTGAGAATACAAACAGCACTGTACTGAACACACACACACACACACTCATGACCGCACACAGTGCAGCATCTTTCAGAGCTATTCAAATTCAACAGTGGAGCCAGTGAACTATTCACCTAGCTGTTGAACACATTGAGAGCTTATTAAGTGTCTTTGCCAACCATATAAAGGCCAAGGATGTAATTTGCCAGTCACACACTGGTTTCAAAGTCTGTCTCTTTAACACATCTAGTACTCATCTAGCATCCTTAAGTCCTCAGAATGAGACAATTAGCGCTCACAGACAAGGCCAGTGCAGTCAATGGGCAAGGAAAGGCCATGTGGGGAGAGGTAATTTAGTAGAGGAATATATTGTGACGGAGGGAGAAAGAGAGACGGACAGATAGTTGGGGAATGGTCTTTTTAGATTCTCTAAGAAGCTAGAGGAGATGCAGCAAGAGCAGAGAGAGAGAGACTTTTATGGGTCTGACAATGAAAGGCAATCAGATGTGATGTGAAATAAGAGAAAGCTGCAGCATGTGTTCAACTGCAGACTCATTTCATGAACCTCTTTGACTGATTGCTAGTGAAGGGATGGAGAGAAGGAGAAAGGCATTGGAGGGGCAGGGGAAGAATAGTGATTCATGTATAAGATGCTTATGGATGTAGGATTTAGGGGAAACATCTACAGTGATTTTGTCATTTAACCCTGCCCGGTCTGTGGCCTGCAGATAATGCAATAAACATTATTTCACATTAAAATGAATGAATTAAAATTTTTTCCTAAAATGAGTAAAATAATTGTCCATTTGGAGCAAGATATTTTTATGCTGTTTCAGGCAACACAATTGTTTCTACTCAATATCACACTTAATTTAAGGAGTTTTAATTTGGGGGGCATCCCGGTGAAAAATGACATGTTAATACCACAATTTTTCGCAGTGTAACTAACTCCGAAGTGACTTAATCCAATCCTGTAGCTGGTCTACAGGGCTTTGGATGGAGGGCGGTAATGTAGCATGCAGCTGAATTAAAGGGGTTGGTATTTAATTGCGGCCCACAGATGGCCTCATACATCTTTGGATCATTTAAAGGGGCGGTGGGCTGAGTAATGTGTGTGTGACACGCCACTGTGTTTTATAAGAGAGCCCCTATTACACAGACTGCTCTATAAAGAGACAGTCAGCGGGGGAGAGGTGTGGTTAAAGGCCCGGTTTGTAATTGTAGTGACACCCTCCTTTTCAACTCTGTCACCCCACTGCTAGCTTTGTTTATATGAAGATTTATTAAAGAGATCAAAGTAATGTTTCTCTCCGGAATAGACCTCAGCCAGATCTGAGACAAACAAAATTTTAAAAGAAATAATGTCTATAAAGCTGCAATTGAAGAAAAAACCCACCCATTTAAACGTTTGTATTTCTCTGGCTTTCTATACTCCATACTATCAGTTTGAGACAAAGAGGAAGGGGTTTTGTAAAACATGATGAATTGAAAAAAATAGAAAACAAATGGATTCAAAGAGAAAAAGGAGAAGTGAGTGGAGAACTATGAAGATGCTGCAAAAAAAAACAGAGGGGGAGTTATAATCAAAATTATATGAATGGAAAAAGGAGTAGGAGAAAAAGATGAGGTCAGGGATGGAGGGATATGGAAATGGTTAAGGATAAATGAAGTGAGGGATATGTTAAGGAGTGTGTGTTTGTGGTGGAGTCCCAGCTGTTATCTCCCTGGGGGTTCATACAGCTGTCATGCACTAACACACACTTTCTTTGTTCTCTTTCCCATATATCCACCCCTTAAATCCTCCTTTTCTCTCATATATTTTGCAGTTTGTTTTTGTCTTTTAACCCCATCTTGGGTTCAGCCTCTTCTGTATATGTTCATCTTTTTCTGTCTCCTTCCTTCCTCTACAGCCCTCCTATTCTGAGAGAGATAGGGATGAGAGAGTGGGAATGATGGTAAGGAAGGGTGAAGGAAAGAGAAAAGAGGCATAGGAAGCAGGGGGACAGCCCTTTCATGTGCTCGTATACTCCGGTCTGCATAGTCCAGATTACATTCCCTTTCCTTGGCTAGACAGTTTTTCCAATTTCTCCCAACCGATGGAAGACAGGTTGAGAAGAAGCAGCTGGTTAACTGCATTAACTCATTTTGGACTCCTCAATATGTCTGATATCCTAATCCCTCTCTGTTGACATGGCAGGACGAGGGAGTGTGGCGCTGGTTGATAGGGAGGTCCTCCTGCCACTCTGGAAGACACTTGCCCTCCCATCTTCCTCTCATCATGTACCCCTCTTCTCTTTCTTCAGCATTAAACAGCCCCTGCTTGCAAAATTCAAATGTACAAATTGGAAATTTTTCTTTAGCTGCAGCTTTGGTTCTTTGGCTCAAGTACAACACAGTCAGACAAGGAAACAAATTGGGTTGGAGTTTAGGAAGAGGAGAAGGAAAGGGGGCTCATAGCTTGACTGAGTGGTGTGAGTATAGAGGACAAGGTGGATGGAGTGGGTGCAGCATGGTTAGAGGCAGGTAGAGGTTAGATAGGCAGGTACATGCACCACCATATAGACTTTGGTGTTGGGGGATGGAGAGCATTGTTGTAAGGTTGGATACAGGGGAGATCTAGGGGGATAGAGTGGGATCAGCGGGGGAAAAGGAGGAGGGGTAAGAGAAGAGTGATTATGGTGGGTCTAGGCTGCCAGGCCTGATAAATGACTAATCAGGAGAACAGGGCCTTAGGTCCCTCACAGGACCCACTACTACCACAGGCTTATCACATGCACAGGCTACAGACACAGACACACACACACACACACACAGACATGCCTCTCGCAAACCCGCAGCACACATGCACCCTTTCACACTTGGACACAAAAGGAGAGAGTAAGAGAAAAGAGAGAGATGGGTTCAATCCATAGCTGCCTCTCCTGGAACAGCGCTCTGCTTGGAGAGCTGTTATAGATCCACCTCTGCCTCCTCCGCACGCCTGCTTCACCTCTCTGACTCCTTGCTCCAGGTCTAATAGTCTGCCAAGGCTGGGACAAAGAGCACGTCACACAACTGACAAACTGTGGTTCTGTTACACGATGATATATCCACTATCTTAAAAAGATGGCTCACAAAATAGTTAACAACCATTATGAAGAGTCATCTATCATTTTTAACTTTTGAGTTTCCGGAAGTTTTTTTTAAATGAGTAATATGCTGAACTGCTACAGAGGAAAGCACAGGATATATTGGAGGGAAAAATACAGTTAGTGTGGCTGGTTAAATCCAATCTGGCTGCATCCCAAGCTAATGATCAGGAAGGGATGGGAAAAGGCGGGAGAGAGAATTATTGAGAGGAGGGAGTAGGAGGAAGCAGTGGCGATAGGGGTATATGGACGTTTTTGTGTGCCACGCTCCATTGACTCGGCCTCCATACCTCAGCAGCCATGTGATCCCAGTGTGATGCTGCTAATAGTGACACCAGAGGGGTCGAGAGCAAGTGCGAGGGCGAGACAGTCGAGGGATGGGGGGAGGGATGGGCAAGCGGAATGGCGGAGGGCAGATGGCAAGAGGCAGAGAGGGAGGGTGGGAAGAGCGAACAGGAGAGTTGGAGCAGGAGGAGAAAGGAGAGGGGGGAGCTGGAATAAAAGGAGAAAAGCGGGAGCAAAAATGGAAAAGCAGAGACGGATGGGACTGTGGTCTCTGTGGGATTGTGGGCAAGGACGGCCAAGTTGTTTTCTCTGTCCCCTTGTATCTTTGTGTCCCCCCATGTCCCTTTATGTCCAGTCATGTCCCTGGACGCAAAGTCACTCGCACAGCCAGATCACCTCTGTAGCTCATATACCTGAATGAGCATACTATGTTTTTACTCCTGTGCTTGCTGTGCTTGGACTAGTGATATGGCTGTGTGTGTGTTGAAAGTTAGACATTAACCTACAGAAGCAAGGTTTGTCTGCCTCCCTTTGAAGCTGAAGGGCATATACATCAGTTCTTCCCATTCAGTTGTTTTATACTGTGCCTTTTGTGTTTGTTTTCAGCTTGTCTTGCTTTTATAAAATCAAACACACTTGCCATCAAAAAAGTATGTTTTTGGGACATTTACACTTCCCATTGAGTCTTGGTATTTATGTACTGTTCATACACCACACATTTCTCATGCTCTGTGCTCAACATCAGATAAAGATGAAATCCTACCGGTTTAATTCGTATTTCATACCCAATATGTATCCGTGCCGTTCCTGGGGCAGCAGTCATAACATTGGAAGTGTTGGTTAAGCCTTCCCTGCTCTCTGACTGTCACTCCTGGCTAACTCCGAGCCGTGTTGAAGCCTTGTGATGCATACTTCCCTGTGACTCTGTCTCCACCAATCACAACCAGCAGCCCCATGATGCCCTGTGATGTGGTTCCCACAGATGCCGGTGTCTGTGGCGATAAGGCCTCACAGATGAGCAATCTGAGTGGATTAGCAGGCCCTTTGAACAAGCCCTGACTGGCTGTTTGCCGGCGGGATGCAAATGAGCTTCTTAAGAGGAAGGCAGGAACTTGACCTTTATTGGGCCTGGCAGTATGGACGGTGGCACGGAGGGAGGAAAGAGGGGTAGAGTGTAGCCTCTGAAAGCTGAATTGTGGGAAGTGAAGAGGTAAAAGTATATCACTGGCAGACAATACTCTCTCTCTCTCTCTCTCTCACTCCCTGTCTTGTTAAGTGTCTTAATGGTGCCACTGTCCTGCCTGGCCCGGTCGGCCTTCTGGCTGGGTGGCTTTGCTCATTTGTGTCTGTGTGTCAGAGGCATTTGCTGCAGTGTTTCACCCTTTCTGACAGCCACTTAACCTCTAGGCCTGGCACCATCCACAGTTATGATTCTTGACCCAATAGACTGGAGCTCAGTTTAGTTAACACCAATGTTAACAAGCAAAGACTTGATCAGTAGGGACCAAGACAAGACAGAGATCCAAAACAATCAAGACAGGACTGTGAGTTTTAATGCTTACAATTAAGGCCAGGTTCATACAGACGGTAGCACTGTATGAAAATATGCAGCTGCTTCATTCATTCACTCATTCAATACGACAGGTGAGAGGATTCTGACAAGAAAGCGCAGGTTGTGTGACTTTTCTGCTAGCACTGCAATCTCATCCAGCAAGGTGTTGCTTTGGCCAATCCAATATGTGCAAGAGTACATTTCTGGTTGATCACTTTGTCACATGAACACCTAATAATACTTTCATTCGTTTCATTTCAATACAACCTAGGGATTGTTGCAATGAAAAATAAAATGGTTGGCACTGTGATAATAGTAAAATCCTGTCTAATTGTATCATAAACCACAGAGTAGTGCTTTGATATCTGATAAGCCTTGGATTTATCACACAAACCAGCCTTCCTGAATCACATGTCATTGCCTCATAGGTACCTGAAACAACAACCCCCGCCAACTCAATGCTATTTGCGGTCTTAAGCACGGTTAGACAGGACAGTTAATGAGCAGAATACTAACATTGGGGCTACTTGTTGGTGTTTGTTTCCCCTAAAAAGCCCCAGTACATAAGAATAAATGTATGTCTACATTTGTAGCAGTAATGGTTTTCATCACCAAATTAGGACTAATGGTTTTTTTAATTACAGGTTAACTTATTATAATTTTTTATTGATTAATCAATCAATTATAATCTATATTTCAAATCTTCACAACTGAAAAACTGGAACCTGTGATTGTTGGTGTTTTTGCTTGTTTTGCAAGTTTTATAGTCACTGAAAAAAAAAGAAAGATTATTTCACTGTTTGAGTTCAACACTGAGGCGAGACTAAAACAAAATGGTTAAGACAAAGGGAACGACATTGTCAGGGCCTACTGGTCTTGAAAACAACAACTCTTGTTGCTTTGGTGTGCAGCATGTTAGCTGTGCTCCAGTGTCTCCTATGTATAGTACTGTGTATTAAATGTTTGAAATTTACTAGACAGTAGAGGCTTGGAGGAATCTTTTACTATTTTATGTGAACACACACTTTATCATGCGCGCTCACACATGCTATATGACCTCATACTGCCAACAGAGGAAGAAAGTCAGGTTGGAGCTGTAAGTCATGCTAGATAAATCCTGGTTTTGTACCAGAGAGACAAGGTTGTTTTGGGTGTGGAGGGACGAAGGATGGAATGGATGGAGTGGTGCCTGTACAGTTTTAAGAGCAGGTCCCACCCACTGTTAAAGGCTTTAAGGCACCGTGGCCCTTCTCTCACCCTCCTCCTCTCCCCTGGGGGTTTTTATCTGCCCATTTCCTCTTCTCGTGCTGAGCCCTCGGGACGCCTTAATGGCGCCATGTTCCCTGTCAGTCAGATATTTAAATGGAAACCGACCATGAAAGTATGGCTGCTCAGAGCTGGCTCACTGTCCTTGCTCTCAGCAGCCAGAGTCAAATGCAGAGGCCCAAACCCCAGCCCTGAGCTCCAGATAAGCCTGGGGAGGGGGAGTCAGGCTCAATCTGCAAGTTTAATATCCCCCATCAGGTTTTAAACCTGTTTACCTTGCAGATTTGATCAAGGATACTGATGCAAATGGAGGCAAAGGCTCCTTGCACTGGAAACCTTCTGTCCAGAGGTTCATTGATTCATGCTAAATGGGTTCAAGCATCATTCTTAATCACTCACTTGACTCAATTGATATTGTCCTAAACACAAAAGAATATTGGTTTCTCTTCATGAGCCTGCATATGTAACAATGCGCTGTTGCACTTGTTGTATAATTGTGTAGCTGGTGTCACTGTTGTCTTTCTCTGCAGTTATAATAATTACTGTGACAATTGACAGCTGCAGGTGGCCTTACCAACCCTCACCAGACAACCTAATTTAACCCAGTAATAAATCTCTGTGCCCAGTTGGCCATTTTAGCTGTTTGGCACAGGGCACTGTAAATTTACCCTAATTAGATCCTCCCTCTACTCCTCCCACTCACTTCCCCCATCTTCCCTCTGTCCTCTGACTCCCTCCTTCTCCCCCGTTTCTTCCCCTGCTCATTGGTACATATGCTCATACACCTGGCCTACATCGTTACCTGTTTACAAATGACCAGGCTGGTTCTGCTGGCTTCAGCATCCACTGCACCACACAGTACTGAATCTCCCTCTTTCTCGCTCGCTCTCTAACCTCCCCTGTGTCATAATTAGACCTCAGAGCTCATGTTTGCTTAATATTATAATCCGGTACACCTGCATCTCTCTCTCTATAGTGCTTAGGTGTACCAGCCGCCCCACCTACACCCCCAGTCCCCCACCCTTGACCTAATGCAGATAGAGTTTTGGAATTGATGTTTCCAGAAACTGTTAGCGAGTGTGTGTATTTTGTTTTCACATTTTCTCCCCACCAACGCAGCAGCACTAAAAGGCCAATAGTCCACCCTCCTTTTTGCTGTTTCTCTTAAAGGTATGAGTATTGAGCATGGTTTTCTGTGTGTGTTTATGTGTGTCAGGGGTGTCAGTGTCAGGGCTAATGGTCTCTAGCAGGGGCGCCAGCCTGAAGATTTATGCCACAAATTAGTCAAATGTGATCAAACAGCAACCCAGTTAATCATGCAGGACCCACGTTTGTCCCTGCTTTATCTACAGGCATAATTATAGACACCCATTGCTGTGACAGGCCAACGGCAGGCCCCTGCGGAGTGGTATTGGGGGGCCGCCACGCAGTGTTGTCACAGTGATGAATGTCTTAGTGGTGCGGGTAGTGTTTTAAACACGTATATACTTAACACCCCCTTGTGAATGCTGTGAGTGAAGGCATGGCCCCTGCAGAACTGGTCTAACTGTTAGATGAGGATCGGCTTCCTAAATGAATATTAGTGTGAATGAGTCGGGTCCCCCTCGCCTCCCCAGCCTCACAATTTGAAGCACTTCAGCCATTAAGAAGAGGCATTGCCATAAATCCAATTCATCATAGGACTCCCAATTCATTATTTAGTAAGTGTTGACTGGTTAAAGCGAGCTCTATCACTCATCCCTTCCCATTTGAACTGCCTCCTCTGCAGCCTCGCAAAACTTGGAATGTGGGAATGGGAATCATCCAGCAGTTTTCTGTTATTCCAGGCCATTACCAAGTGCCATGCTGGGAAAGAGATCCAGTGATGTGTGCTGCAGTGTGTGATTGGAGTGGATCCTCTCTCTCCCCCTCTGACAGCCATTTTAAACACTCGTTTATGCAGCGCTTTTAATATCAATAAGAGAAGCAGGCAGGCAGGCGGACAGGCAGCACTTTCTTATACACACACACACTTACACACACGGAGTGACACACACGGCCTGGCTGGAAATCAGCAGCCTCCATCTCCCTGGTATGACAGGGTGTGGTAATTATGTCTCTGCGAGAGTGTGCGCTGTTTGCTGGGTGAAAAATGATAATGGGGTGATTTTTAAGTGCCATATCTCCCGCACGGGTAATGAAAAGTACTTTTAATCCAGTTCGGAGGAACGGAGGGGTGGAGGAGAGGAGTGGCTGGGGAGAGGAAGCAGAAGGGTTTGTTGTGATGGGAGGAGAGGAGGAGGAG